CGCAGTTTCTGAACGAGACGTCCAGAATTAAGAAGGGGGCAGTGTAACGAAAACTGGCTTTTACACGTTCACTCCGTCTTGGAAAAGTTAATGATTTTGACATCTTGGTTATTCTATGAACTTCTTGATGCCTTGTCTGAAGGATCAATGTCGTTCACGAGTGCTTCCTCTCTTGGGGAAATTACCAATATGACTATAACCACGTAATGTAACTTGTCGATGTAACAATCACGTACAGCTCCTCTTCTTGAAGGACTAATTACAATCCAAGTGCGGTTCGTTTTCTCGAAGTACCAATGTTATTGACTCTTACCTAATGTGATATGATTATATTGTCTAGGTCGAAGAACAATTTGACAAGAGCTTTTAAATTAAATTTATTATGACGGTTTTTTATCTTTTCCTCTAACAACCTTATTTCTATGGCAACATTTTATAATTATTCAGTAAACTTGATACAAATAAATACAACATTCTTGGTATGATTCTCCTCATACACACGAGCTAAGACATTCTCTTTGAATAAAATTTTTGCAAAGTTCGGCATTCGTAGTAATAAAGTAGGCAAGTGAAGCACGTTACCAGAGCTTTGTTGCACAGTTATTACCAAAGACCTGAAAGAATTTTTGAAGCACCCATATATACTTCGCGTTTCTATAATTGGTACCTAAATGCCTCCCCTCTTGCAACAACGAAATCTTGATTTCGGCGATTTAATTTAATACGTCTCTTTACACAATCACGAAATAAAAATAAGTTCGCTACGTCTAATCTCGTGTACCTACTTAGGTAAATAAAAATTGCGAAATGTTTGTTCTTCAAGGGAATTATTCGGGACCAAAGAAAAACTGTAAGGGGTTTACAAGCGAAGGCTTGTCCGAAAAATGATCCCCAAATCGAGACACCAACATCCCTCCCCTCAACGTTCTCTTAGCATTGATGATTTCGAGCAAACCTGATCTATTTGCGCAGTTTGTTTTCTTTGTGTTGAAAAATTCTCGTTAACTGTAAACTGGAGATGGCGCAACTTTCGTTCACATGTAGAAAAAATACGGGCATATTTTAGGTGGTGTTTGCTAAGTGTCGACTGGAGAGGAGATAAGGTGACTGAAAGGCACACAGAGCGTTAGGAAATTATGGAGGTTTAAAAAGGAGGCGTTGTGAAATAAACAACAGATCTCTTGAAGCCCTTCGTAATGAAACTTGGTTCACTTGTGTTTGTCGCGGGCCTCCTAGTCGTTGGGGTAAGTTCACTCGAAAACCTTCTTTAATAATCTTATACGTTTGTTACTAGAGGGTGAACGGGCAAGAGTGGTTGACAAAGTGGCCCACAATTACGTCATGCATTTGCAAAACCGGCTACAACGCAAACAGTGCACTGCAGTTTTTAAAAAGCTGCACTCTTCCGGTTGAGCCTTGCGCCAATTGCTTCTTGGCTTGTCAGCGTGAACATATGAAAGCGATGTTAGCCACCGGTGCCGTAAATGTTACATTTTACACTTCACGAAATAGCAAGCTAACTGCGGCGCAAGTCCAAGAGTGTGATACGCCGTTAGCTAATGAGAAGGACAAATGCAAAAGAGCTCAATTATTTGACGCATGCTTGAAGGCCATAAATCCAACCTGTCTCAGTTACTAGGACTTGGTTACGTGGTAACTTGATAATCAGCTAGAAATGTACATACTGTTAATTCAATAAACGTCATCCTTTTTTCCATCTAGGACGTAAAACTGCTCTCTTTCTCAATATTGACTTTCCATTATTGTTCTACAGGCTTCAAGAATTTTCAATTTTAATTATACTTTAAAAAATAAACAAAAAACTGTCATAACAAATTCAAAAATTGTTTATGGTATAATTTAAAAAAGGTCACATGCAATAGATGGCGAGAACTCTGGTTGATAGTAAGTAAATGCCAAAAAAATAAAACTCTGATCCCGAATGGGAAGACGCTTTCAATGTAGCAGTAAAAATAACTTGTTACTTTTACTTTATTTTATAGCATATGTTAAATTGACATTTTAACAGGTTTGAATGAGTAGGCTAAGCCGTTCTTTAACAGTAAGAGAATAGATAAAGTGAAACAAATGACTATGCATTGTAATGACATCTGTCAATCTTATTTCAAATGACGTTCAGAACATATGACAATTATTTTTCTATGGAAACCATCGCGACACCAGAGCCTAAGCTTGCTATTTTGTATTACTTATACACGACGATAAAGGGAAATTAACCATCTCGTGAAAGTTAATTCAGTCGTGACTGCGCCACTCGTGAATTAACATATTTCACTCAATGGTTAAAATATCCCTTTATCGTCTTGTTTAATAAATAAACTATTATCCCCCACTTAAAAATCCTTAGCTGTTTGAGAATCGTTTCCGAAGTGTTTTGGGTAAACAACGTGAGAAAGTTCTTTCTCTGTGGTATTGCTACAAATTCATTTTCGAAGTGGAATAGCTCACAGGCATTTTACTTATGCAAGTGTTATGGTAGTGTAGATACATTACTGGCGAGAAAATATTGAAGTAATAAGAGGCCCCCTCGGGACCGAGTACTTCAATTTTCGCAGCGAGTAGTGTCATTTTACTGACGAGTTTTGCATTAAATTTGTACCGAAATCGTCTTTTTTAATATTACATTTAAATTTTCATATGAACCTATTAATACATATTAATGTACCAGTCTTGACAGCAGTGACAGGAGGCAGGAAAAGTAGCAAGGTAAGGAAAGTGTCACTGCTCATGGAAACGAAAATTTCCTGAAATAATATAGGAATGCAAATTCAAGACGATTTCGGGGGAAAAAAATTGTGGGTAGGCCAACTTAATACTAATTTGATCCAAATTAACTTTTTATTTTTAATATTTAACTACTGTTCTGAAAGAGAGGTTACATGAATTCAAACGGTAGGTACTGCGACATTTATTATAGATAGATTACGTAGGTACTATCAAAATTTGCGAAAACTTAACCTACCTAGTAGGATATTTGTTAGTCACATCCTTTTTACTAACATTTGGCAAACACGTTTTACCGTTGACAATATTAATAATTAATCGTTATTTGCAAATACTTTGCAGGCAACAACTTATTCAAAGACTTTCTAAACAAGTATAAATTGTGGACAACTCTTGTGCAGATAAAGCGCGTTTTTTAAACGGAAATAGCTTTTGTTTTGACATTGACCAATGGATATATTTCTTGCAGACGTCTCAATCGTTCTTTGTGAGTACCCTCTTCCGACAATCCGTTCTTGAGGTATAAAGGAATATACCCGATCACGATAAGAGGTCGAGGAGGAGGGCTATGGTTGGTAGAAATTAATTCCTTTTGTTGAGACCTTTCATTAGAGTACCATGAAGGATAAAACTAGTTCCCCCCGCTCCCCCCCCCCGTACTTGATATAAAAACAGAAAAGAAGGGCAGTAAGTTATAGAAAAACGGCTTCCTTTTGTGAGACCCCCGACCCCTGTCAGCTCACTGATCTAGAAAAAAAGAGTCGCCGAGAAGTTATAGTTTCTACCAAACCAATTTTTATTTCGATGAGACCTTACATTAAAGTACCACGAAGGTACAGCATGTTTTACCCCCCCCCCCCCCCCATTGTTTAAAGTTTAACTTGGCACCACTAAAGGCATGCGTATGCAAAATCTGAGACCAATTTGTTGTCGTATGTAAAAGTTATGCACGTTTTACTTTCAAAAACAAAATCTCAGGAAATAATTCGTGAGAAGGTCCCCCTTTTAGACAGCGAAATTTGATGGTCGTCTGGCACACCTCCAAGGTATAGGCTACCTACTACAAGAAATTCCAGGACTCTAGGACCATTCCCCTAGAAGTAGTTCGAAACGGCAGAAGTGGGTCCGGACGGACGGACAAAACGCAAAATTTTTTTAATTCTTAAAAAATGTGCTAAAAAACAACAAAAAGTACGGTTCAGAATATAGGAGAACAACATTTTTTGTATTTATTGTTTTATTTATTTTTGTTATTTAAATAATTCAGTTACAAACATTTTTTTTCATAAGAAAATGTTGACACGTTTTTGTAACTTTTATTAGCCCCTGTATCAGCTAGGCAAATTAATTACATAAAAATAACTTTAAAATATGGTATCACTCGACCCTCCATTCGATTTAAAGGTTTGGAAGCGCTTGTCACCCCCGCTAGGGCTTTGCCCTCAGGGAGGCGAATCTAGCAAAAAAATGGTTCCCCCTTGAATAAAAAATTGACGGGTCCCAGGATTTTTTCTTACATGTTTTGAGGTCCCCAAAATAGCTCTGTTTCGTTTTCAAATGGCCACCTTGTATAAAGGAAAGTATTGACCCATGTGAAGTTGGCCTCGCTCACATGAAATAATTTGACAAAAATGTGTTGACAGTTAGTCCTACGATAGTGCTCTTTAGTGAGAAAAATAAAAAAAAAACCGGCGCGGGGCCAATTTCACACTCAACTTTTATTTATCGAAATAACGAACGCACACGGCTCACACACGTCGCAATTCTTTCGCTGTTTCTAAAAAAGTCAACTGTGAAGTTAGCTCCGCTCATACATTTTTAATTAGATGAAACCACATGTGATTGTTAGTGGTAGGTTAGTGCTGTTTTGTGCTCAAAAATTGCGATTCCAGCATTTCAGAAAAACGAAAAAGACCAAAGTATTGTGTGAAGTTAGCCCCGCTGATGACTCGTTTAAAAAAAAACTAATACGATCCTTAGTGCTAGGTTAGTGCTGTTTTGGGCTCAAAGTTTACGATTCCAACGTTTTTCGTTTCCGCGAAAAACAAAACTCTTCTACAGATAAAGCGCATTTTTTTAAAGTAGGGCTATGGTTGGTAGAAATTAATTCCTTTCGTTGAGACCTTTCATTAGAATACCATGAAGGGTAGAACGTGTGTTAACCCCCCCCCCCTCCCATTTTTCTAAAGTTTAACTTGGCACCACTAAGGGTATGCGTATGCAAAATCTGAGAGCAATTGGTTGTCGTATGTAAAAAATTTTTACTTTCAAAAACAGCATCTCAGGAAATAATTCGTGGGGGGGAGGGCTTCTAGACAGCGAAATTTGATAGCCGTCTGGCACACCTTCAAGATATAAGCTACCTACTGCCGAAAATTCCAGGACCATTCCCCTAGAAGTAGTTCGAAACGGCAGAAGTGGGTCCGGACGGACAAAACGCAAACAATAGCACTTTTTTTAATTCTTAAAAAATGCGCTAAAAATACTAAAATATTGTGTGAAGTTGACCAAATTTATGACTGGTTTTTCAACTTTGACGCTAAAGCCTGATGATGGAGTGTTAATTTTGTTAAGAAAAGAGGTCAGGAGAAATCGCTCGAAATTATTTTCAAGTTTCTAGGTTTGCCGCTAGAGGACGTACGAACCAACGGTTAAGTAGAAAAATGACTTTTTTCCTAAAATACATATAAATATTCCAATTACAATTTGTGACTGTACGTATTTTCGCTATATCTCTGCTTAGGAAACAGAAATCAAAATGCGGTTTTCACTGATATTTTCACTTTGTCATCTTATTTGATAATATCATACAATAATTATATTGTTCCATTTGATATTTTCAAAAAAAAGCTGCTAATGTCAAACTGCACCCACTACCAATCAACACATTTACTAAAAAGACTGTATTCATGTACAATCAAATTCCACGAAGAGAGCTCTTTTCAACAAGACCTATTATGTGAAAATCGGTTAACCTAAACCGAAGTTACATTCAATTCTTGAAAAAGATGTTTCCCTTCCCCCACCCCTCATATTTTCTGAGCTAGAGTCATATGTGCTCCATCAAAATGACGCAAAAGTGATACAAGATTGCGATGCATGTATTTTTTATGCATGTTTGTTGGGTATATTATTTTTCTACTTAACCATGAATCGTACGCCCTCTAGCGGCAAAGCTAGAAACTTGAAAATAATTTCCAGCGATTTCTCTTGAAATCTTTTCTTAACAAAATTTTTCAAAAGCTGTGCAATTAACGGTTCCATAGATATGGCCTGTGACCATTATTAATGGGACACCCTGTACATATCTAATTATTTATATTGCCTTTAGACTCTTAACCTGGAAATACGGATTATTTTCCTATTTATAAACATTACATTACAAACATTACAACCCAATTTTAACTACTACTTATACAGCGCACGTCTAAAGTCGCCCCCCTCCCCTTTTAATTTTTGAACCACTTGGTATATATCGGAACGAAAATTCTGCGGCTTAAATAGGAGATGAAAACATGTGTCGAAGTGTCCTCCACCATAATGCATATGTCCATTGGAATTTACTGATCGACTTGAAATTTTGCAGGAGGCTTTATCAAAACCATTCATAAATAGTATACAGGGTGTTTTTTTAAAGATGGGCCCTAGAAGGTACACACTTAGCATACATCATAAGCATAAACGTACGTCTGTGACAATGTAAAAGCGTTGAGTTATTTAAAATGGGCCACAAGAAAATTTCAATACGGTAAAAAAAGTATGATACCTACTATTATATATTTTGAAATATTCGAAATAAAGTTTTAAAACAAAAAACCTAATAACAATCAATAGTTTCAAGTTTTAATAAAAAAATCAAGTAGCCATGTAACAATTGCAGTTAAAATGAGGATCATTCTTTATCAGCTTATTTAACTGTTATAATTGTATAGTTTTTACGTAATCAAGTATGCGATATTTGACTGAAGAACAGCGAATTTATAAGC